CCTTTATGTTGCCCGTGTTGTATTACGGTTCTATTTGCTTCTAATTCAAGTGTTCCATATCCATCACTGAAGAATTCCGTTATTGCGTATTGCGAATTCTGAGAACAGTAACCTCATTTACAGAGAGTGCTCTGATCTATTAACTTTTATTCTTACCTTTTCTAAGGAGATTCCTTAAAAACGCCAACAGATTGATGGGAACATAAAACGTAAACACTAAACTGGATATGTAACAACTGCTTGCACACCCCATCCGGCGGGGAGGGAGCGCGGCACTGCGTTCACGCTCCGCGCGCGCTTACGCAGTTCCGCGTTCAACCCCTCCTGGTACAATAGGGAAACTGAGGCCAGGAGAGAGGCAGGGACTGGCCCGGGGCTCACGCGGTGGGCAGAATCCACAGGCGCAGGGAGGGTTCCAGCCTCCTAGGCCAGCCTCCATTCTCCCGTGGGGTTTCCTTTGGGAATGAGAACCCCTAAGATCCTGGGGGAACCCTGTTCACCCCTCCCCTGTGGGGCCCTTCCTCCGGGCACCCCCACGTGGGCACAGGACACGCACACACAGTGACTTCCCAGGTGGGACCATGGAGGAGGGCGCAGGTGGCAGGGGAGAGCAGGAGGCTGGAGGCAGCCCCGCCATCAGGCAGGAGCCGCTGGTCTAGCATCACGCCTGGGCCCATACACGGGGCGGGGAGAGATGCAGGCTGATGGCCAGGGGTCCCAAAGGTGCCCAGGGCCGGCCCTGGGCTGGGCCATGGAGAGGGCAGCAGGGAGAGGACTTGGAGCCCTTCGTCCTCCACTCAGGGCTCCTGGAAGTAGGAGGAGACCCCCTCCCTACTATGGGGGGGCTACAGGAGAAAAGACCTTAGTCTCTTTCTCTATAAGTTGGGGTGCACAGAGGGTGCCCTAGAAGAGTCTGTTGCCCCTGGCTCTCCATCCGTGACCCCTGTGCTCCGCGTCCGTGGAAAATGCTTTCTACTCCCGTGAGGTCCTCCGCGCAGCCGGGGGTGGAGGGTCCTGGGGCCTGGGGAGCAGAACATGGCCGAGCACTGGACTGTTCCTCTGGGACCAAGGACAAGGCCATCCTTCAGGAGCTGAGGGGTCTTCGTTTGGAAGTGGGTCCGGAGTTACTGGCTGGGGTGAGGCGGCCTCGTGAATGAACTAGACACCAGGACAGTGGGCGGAAAGAGGGGCGCGAGAGAGGGTCCTGGGGTCCCCGGCACTGCTCCTGGAGCTCGCAGGTCCTGTCCCTCAGCCCTCCGGTGACAGGGAGAGCAGCTGCCTTGACTACGTCCAAACAAAGGTGTGTGTTTTGTTTTCTGGTTTCCTTGCCTGGGGCTGCAGGGCCGGGGATGACCACCAGGGGGCGGGCTGTGCCCACTGTGCTCAATGGAGCCGCCGGAGCAGGGAAGGGACACCCAGGGGTCATTCTGGGCATCCGGCTGCCTCGGACACAGCTGCACCTTTTATTATTGGTCTTCATGTCCAGTGTGAGCTGCCCAGAGGCGGGAGAGGCTCTGAGGCCCTCTCATTATGTGGCTCATGCGCCCCCAGCCCTCACCCTGAGCAGGAGCCTCCTGGTCCCTGCCCTCCCGGAGCACAAGCCTGGAAGGGCAGAGGGACACAAGCACAAGAGCAAATCCTTGTGGGAGAGAAGAGCAGTGCTGCGGGGACAGGAAGCAGGGGCGGGGGGCGGGCGGGACCCTAGGTGGGCCTAACGGCCTCCAGGGAGACATTTATGCTGTGACCCCAAGGACGAGAGGGGCCCGCCCTGCACAGGTCTGGGAACAGCGTGGCTGGGGGGAGGGGGAGCTCACGGTGCGGAGCCTCTGAGAAGCGGCCCTGTGGTCAGGGTTGGTTCGAGGAGGTGCAATGCTGAGGATGATGTTGGAGGCGGGGGGAGCAGAGGTGCGCTCGGTGGGGCTGCTTTAACAAAGTACCACAAACGGGGTGGCTCAAAACAGAAGTGCCCGGCTGGTGTGGCTCAGTGGTTGAGCGTCGATCTATGAACCAGGAGGTCACGGTTCGATTCCCGGTCAGGGCACAGGCCCGGGTGGCAGGCTCGATCCCCAGTGTGGGAGGTGCAGGAGGCGGGCGATCGATGATTCTCTCTCGTCACTGATGTTTCTGCCCCTCCCTCCCTCTCCCTTCCTCTCTGAAATTAATTGCAAAAAGGAAAAACCAGAAGTTTCTTCGCCCTCAGTTCTGGAGCCAGAAACCCAACGTCAGGGTGTGAGCAGCATCGCACCTCCCCGCTTCCTCCTGCGGTGGTGGCCGCCTCCCTAGTGTCCTTGCCTTCGGAGCCGGCACTCCGGACTCGGCTTCCGCCTGCGCATGGCCTCTGGGTCTCTGCCCAGTTCCCCCTCGTCCTCTGAGGGCATCAGTCAC